AGGTGGGAGATTCTGATTCTTCCTGGCATCATCAGTGACTAGCATAGATCCTGGCTCATAAATAGGGCCTTGGGAAGTATTTGCTGAGTAACAGCTCTTGACTAATTAAATGAATGAATAAGTGGCATGAAAAAATAAATAAGTAAATGATATACATAATGCAGCATATACAAAATATATTTTAAAACTTTTTTTTTTTTTGAGATGGAGTTTTACTCTTGTTGCCCAGGCTGGAGTGCAATGGCGTGATCTCAGCTCACTGCAAACTCCACCTCCCAGGTTCAAGCAATTCTCCTGTCTCAACATCCCGAGTAGCTGGGATTACAGGTGCCCACCACCATCCCCAGCTAATTTTTGTATTTTTAGTAAAAATGGGGTTTCACTATGTTGGCCAGGTGCTCTCAAATTCCTGACCTCAGGTAATCCACCCTCCTCGGCCTCTCAAAGTGCTGGGATCACAGGCATGTACCACCACGTCTAAACACTTCTTACATTTAAAGAGCAACTTGTGGCAAGGCATGGTGGCTTACACCTGTAATCCTAGCACTTTGGGAGGCCAAAGCAGATGGATCACCTGAGGTCAGGAGTTCCAGACCAGCCTGGTCAACATGGTGAAACCCTGTCTCTACTAAAAATACAAAAATTAGCTGGGCGCGGTGATGCACACCTATAATCTAGCTACTAGGGAGGCCGAGGCAGGAGAGTCATTTGAACTTGGGAGGCGGAGGTTACAGTAAGCCAAGATCATGCCACTGCACTCCAGCCTGGGCAACAGAATGAGACTCTGTCTCAAATATAATAATGTAATAAATATAAGAGTAATTTGTTCTAGTTTTATAAATAAATTAAAACAGTTAGCCAGGTCAGGCACAGTGGCTCACTCCTATAATCCCAGCACTTTGGGAGGCTGAGGTGGGCTGATCACCTGAGGTCAGGAGTTCAAGACCAGCCTGGCCAACATGATGAAACCCCATCTCTACTAAAAATACAAAAATTAGCTGGACACGGTGGTGCGTGCCTGTAGTCCCAGCTACTTGGGAGGCTGAGGCTGGAGAATCGCTTGAACCTGAGAAGCAGAGGTTGCAGTGACCTGAGATCACGCCACTGCATTATAGCTTGGGCAATGGAGCGAGAGTCCCTCAAAAAAAAAAAAAAAAAAAAAATTTCAGCCATTTATTGAAGGACAATCTTATCTTTGCCCATAAAGTAAACACAAAATATTTTCTGCTTTTTTTGCTCTTTTACTTTGAAAAAGATGCTTACTGTTCTGCCTTCCTTCCTAACATTGTCTACAATGGTTTTCCAATTTCACACACACACACACACATACACACAAAAAAAGGCTGGGCACAGTTGGCTGACTCCTGTAATCCCAGCACTTTGGGAGGCCAAGGCAGGCGGATCAAGAGGTCATGAGACCATCCTGGCCAACATGGTGAAACCCCATCTCAATTAAAACATTAAAAATTAGCCAGGTGTGGTGGCGCACACCTGTAGTCCCAGCTACTCAAGAAGCTGAGGCAGGGCAATTGCTTGAACCCAGGAGGCAGAAGTTGCAGTGGGCTGAGATCGTGCCACTGCACTCCAGTCTGGTGACAGAGCAAGACTCCGTCTCAAAAAAAAAAAAAGCATTTTTTTTTTAAGCAATAGGGTCTTGCTCTGTAAAGGCTGGAATGCAGTGGTATGATCATAGCTCACTGTAACTTTGACCTCCAGGGTCAGGGGATCCTCCCACTTCAGTCTCCTGAGAGTATAGGACTACAGGTGAGTGCTATCATGCCTGCCTAAATAACAAAAAATTTTTTTAGAGATGAGTGTCTCACTATGTTGCCCAGGTTTGTCTTGAGCTCCTGGGCTCAAGCAATCCTCCTGCCTTGGCCTAACAAAATGCTGAGATTAAAGGCATGAGCCACTATGCCTAGCCTCCATTACAAATTAAAATATCTTTATTGTAGAAAGCTTAAAACATGTATCAGAGAATATGAAAGTAAAATTCAAGGCCGGGCGCGGTGGCTCAAGCCTGTAATCCCAGCACTGTGGGAGGCCGAGGCGGGTGGATCACGAGGTCAAGAGATCGAGACCATCTTGGTCAACATGGTGAAACCCCGTCTCTACTAAAAATACAAAAAATTAGCTGGGCATGGTGGCGCATGCCTGTAATCCCAGCGACTCAGGAGGCTGGGGCAGGAGAATTGCCTGAACCCAGGAGGCAGAGGTTGCAGTGAGCCGAGATCGCGCCATTGCACTCCAGCCTGGGTAACAAGAGCAAAACTCCGTCTCAAAAAAAAAAAAAAAAAAGAAAGTAAAATTCAGCTGGATCTCACCAAGAGATAGCTGCTGTCTTTCTGTCTGTGTGACTGTGTTTGTCTGTGTGTTTTATATGTCTGCATATTTGTTAAACAAAGGTAGAATCCAAATGCATTAGGCATATCTTATGCAACACCTGAAATTTTCTTGGTCTTGTATGACCTTGAGGTCCTTGGGCACTTTTTCCACCCCAGCTGTCACTGGGCTGATCAGATACATCTGGGTTATAACCAACTGCCCACAGGCACAACCCCATGGTCCCTTACCTCCTGCTCATACTGGATGCCTACTGCTTCCCACCCTTGGCTTGCCACTTGCCTTTGAGGTATAAAGGCCTGTGGGACCCACCTGGTGCCCACACATGTATAACCCAGAAGTCTGTGGGAATTAATGTACCATGAAGCAAACCTTTTTCCAATGAGATACAGAAGCTGAGGGGACCGTCCTTCCTTTTTTAGATGGATTGCCCTGGAATGCAGTTATTTATACAAGCTCCTGCGAGACAGCTTTAAGAAATCAGCAACCAACTGTACTTGCACCAAGGGGGCCAACTTCAAAATGCACCTTTGAATAGACTTAATCCACCTCCTCCCCTCACTCACCTTTCACCTACCTCTGCTTGAAAGTGCCCTTCTTGAAAAAATAATAGCACATAAGTTCTTGCCTCAAGCTCTAGGTTCTCTAGGTTCCAGGGTACTGAGATATAGCAGACACTACAAATGCTCTACTAATCATCCCTTCGGCTCTTATCACAATAGTGCACCCTGGTCTGACTTCCAAATGCCAACATGGGTGTTTTGTCACCTGAGAGCTTTCTTTGGTATCCAGACTACTTTGCACCTGTTTATGGCAAGCTGTAAGCACCAGAGAATTGAACCACCCTGGCAGCAGCCCTCAAATGGTACCTGACAGGAGCTGGTGTTGAAACACCCTAGATTTCTTAGCCCTCTGTGGGATACCACCAAGCCATGAGCTTCCCCAGTGGAATTAGGTTGGGTTGTTACCAGTGGCAACAGGCTTGATAATTCGCCCTTTGTTGTCGAATTTTCCTTTCCTGTCTTTCTTCCCCTCTCCTGTCTCCCTTCCCCTCTCCTCTACCACTGTGTAAAGGAATAATCTCCAAATAAACTACTTGAGAATAAAAAGGAGGGCGGCAAAAGATACCTTTACAATGTAGAAACCTGGGAGCTACCACCTTAATCATTAAATAATAAAACTTAATGTCACCAATTGTAGGCATATCATGTGCTTCCTTATGGATGGACTAATAAGGTCACATCACTTAGGTGGTATTTCTGCCAATCTAATCATGAGGATAATCAAACAAGTTGAAATGCACAAGGCAATTGGCCTGGACTCTTCAAAAGCATCAGTGTCTCAAAAAAACAAAACAAAACAGAAGGGCTGGTGAACTTTTCTATATTAAAAGAAGCTTAAGGCTAGGATTACATGCCTGTAATCCCAGCACTTTGGGAGGCCAAGGCAGGTAGATTATCTGAGCTCAGGAGTTCAAGACCAGCCTAGCCAACATGGTAAAATCCTGTCTCTACTAAAAACATAAAAATTAGCCGGGCGTGGTGGCACACACCTGTATTCCCAGCAATTCAGGAGGCTGAGACAGGAGAATCACTTGAACCCAGTAGGCAGAGGTTGTAGTGAGCCAAGATCGTGCCACTGCACTCCAGTCTGGCTAACAGGGCAAGACTCCATCTCAATAAATAAATAAATAAAGAGAGACTTAAGAGACATGACAACTAAATGCACTGTGTGATCTTCAATGACATTTTGGATCAAGGATAAAGAAAAGCTATAAAGATTATTATTAGGACAATGGGAGAAATCTGATGATGGAATGAATGTGAGACTGCAGCTGCAACCTCCTGGCCTCAAGTGATCCTCCTGCCTCAGCATCCCAAGTAGCTTGGACTATAGGCACACACCACCACAGCTGGTTAGTGTGATAAGTATATCACGGTTATGTAGGACAGTGTATGATGCAGTACTGGAGTAAAGTGTCATGTTTTCTGCAACTTATTCTCAATTCATTCAACTAATAGTGTGTTTTTGTGTGTTGCGTGGGTATAGAGAGAGTAAGAAAAAGGCAAGGAGATAAAGCAAAGTAACAAATTTATGAACCTAGGTGAAGGATATGCAGACTTTGATCATAAATTTTCTTTTTTCTTTTTTTTTTTTTTTTTGAGACAGTCTCGCTGTGCTGCCCAGGCTGGAGTGCAGTGAGACAATCATCATGACTCACTGTAACCTCAAACTCCTTAGCTCAAGTGATCTTCCCACCTCAGTCTCCTGAGTAGCAGGGACTACAGTTGTATACCACCACACACGACTCATTTTCTTTTGTAGAGACAGGGGTCTCACTATGTTGCCCAGGTTGGCCTCGAGCTCCTGGGCTCAAGCAATCTTCCTGCCCCAGCCTCCCAAAGCACTGGGATTACAGATGTGAGTTACTGCACCCAGCCCATTGTAAAATTTGTCCAAAGGCTTCATATCCTTCAGAGTAAAGTGTTAAGAAAGACTATCTGCATAGCCAAGGTTATGGCAGCTACATAAATCCAAATATCCCAACATATCCTCCAAAAACGATACAGACCAACCAACAGGTGGAACAAAGAAAATCACCAACATCTCCTATCTTCACCACACTTAGAAGACTGAAAACGCTACAAGCTTCGAACCTGGAAGTAGAAAAACATCAATTTCTGGTAGAGATGTTTCTCAACCTCTCGTCCAGCTCTTTAAGAACAGCAAAGAGGGATCCAGATAGGAAGAGAGATGCAAAGAAGAGAGAAGAATGGAGAGCCTGAGACAGAACTAAAATATCTCCCTGAAAAAGAAAACTCACGGTATGCAAATGCTGACAAATAATTCTGTTAAATCGGGAGAGGAAGAAAGGGTGGGGGAGAGACACATTTAAACACATGCAGAACTTGATGAGGCAGTCTTGAGAAGGCAAGCTTTCTGGGGAGAAGGAGAAAAGAAATGAAAGGGTACCCTCTGTTGGCCAGGCATGGTGGCTTACACCTGTAATCCCAGCACTTTAGTAGCCTGAAGCAGGCAGATCACAAGGTCAAGAAATCAAGACCATCCTGGCCAACATGGTAATACCCTCTCTCTACCAAAAATACAAAAATTAGCTGGGCATGGTGGTATGCACCTGTAGTACCAGCTACTCGCGAGGCTAAGGCAAGAGAATCGCTTGAACCGGGGAGGCAGAGGTTGTAGTAACCTGAGATCACTCCAGCCTGGTGACAGAGCGAGATACCATCTCAAAACACAACAAAAAA